GCACTGCAAGGTTCTGGAGTCATCAAAATCATAATAAATTTGACCGAGTCTTGGTAAAGTAACAAACACTCACATAGAAAGCTATATATGGGACAACACACATCGTGTCGGGGATGGTACTACCTTGGTTTCCTTGTCTTTCTATGCTCATTACTCAGCCAGTATACATTTTCTTCCAAAATTGTTTGGCACATGTCATTTATTTGTAATCTTGAACATTCAGTGTAAGTTTCGTTTGATTCTGTGAGAATTATTTTTTTTTTTTTTACCAGTACTGGAGTTTATCTTTAAACAGAGCAAGGCTATGATCCCAGACTACAACACAAACACTCCAGCTGTCTCTTGACTGATACACACAGCTCGTCAAACCAACGGGGCGTATCGCTTCGTATTCACACGTGTATGTAGCGTTTATGGTAACCATGGGTACGAGGTTACGCCGTGTCTACCCGTGTTGCGTGGAGGCACCGCAGACGGGATCGTGATAATAATATACACACTCGAATACGGATATACCAACACTTCCGAAACATATATATACATATCATGTTCGCGTGGAATATATAGTGATTTTGCAGTGACAGGAACTGATATATAAGCAGGACATTGATATTTCTGTAATATCAATTATAAGTTGGTGGCAAATTTAGGAGTAGTTTCAAGAATCCTGTTTTTATTATGGCTTCGGGAGGGGCCGCTGTTTTGCCGAATGGGGAGAGTGAGAAGTCAGCGGCAGCGAACAGACCCGGTCTTGGTCGGACGAGAAGCGCTTCGAGTATCTACACCCGCCCTACCCCCTTCAAGGTATGTACCTCATTTGCAATGATGAGTATTACTGACTGGCAGAAAAAAACGTGATATATATAAATTATGTAAACAAGCATATAATATCTCCTATTGAATATCCGGAGTAAATGTTGCAGGTACGAAGTCATTAAGGCAAGAAATGCTTCTTTGGTGGTCATGGAAAATTCCAAGTGCGAACAGCCCCTTCAGTGGGCTAACGACAATTTATTTATTTTTGTGATATTTCAAGGTATCTCTTTTTTCACGATTTTAAGGAACTGTTTGATATATTATAAGGCCAGCATAAACAAAAATTCGATCCCCGGTTACAAATTGGGGGAAAAAAAGTTTTTTTTTTCTTCATTTTCCCGCACACACCCCTTTCTGAAAAACCAAAGTGATCTAGAGACAATGACTTACTTACTTTACTTACTAACTCACTTACTTACTTTAATCCATCGATGTTGGTAGGACAGAGCCTGTTCATCGATTGAGTTCATTTATATCAATACTTCAGTTTGTTGTGGTTTCATGTCGAGGTGTATGTGTGGAGGATGGAATAGTTCTGCATTCTTCTTCTAGTTACGTTCAGGGTCATATACTGAAGGTGATTATTTTTCTTCCTATAGTTATCAAGCTTGTTCTTTAAGTTATACTTTCTAAATTTTGTTTGGAGATTTATAATGTATGATAGCAAAACCACACGTCTGCGTAGGTTAATAGTATGACACGATGATATGGTTCCCTTATTTTGAATTGTATTGAATATAAGAATTTGGGATTCAGGACAGGGATATGATTAAATGCCTTTTCGGGAAATACAGTCACAGTAATAGTAATTACAGTGACGGGAAAGTCACAGTGATAATGTTATGTAAATATGGCGTGTAAATCCTTGAACAGTTTGCATACCTGTAGCAGATATTCCTTTTTCTTATCTATATAATCCAATGGGTACACCAATGTTGTGTGTTTTTGTGATAAAGCTCCCAATCATAACTGTTTACCCACAGACCAAAGGCCACAATCAACAGGTTTTTCGCTGTTGAGAAATATTATTTTGTATGGAGTATATTATAATCATATGATCATTAACAAATCAAATTAATACTAATTACTGATCGCTATTGACTTAAGTTGGCGATAAGCAACCACGTTGTAATAGATATCGATTAAACTGTAGTTTTAATGAGTATTTATCTATTAATTTCCACTTCATTATCTAATACTTTGCGTGCTTTTACCAGTGTTTTGTAATCGCTTCTTTGTATAACTTTGGAGACGATAACTATATTCCATGGAGGCATGTCGAAGCCTGCATGTATTGTGAATCATAAAGGTACAAACTAAGTCTCATAGTTTATTGAACGTTTCAATTTAGCTTTTAAAAAATGCACTGACATAGATGTCTGTAAAAATCATTGGGTCCTTCTTCGTGTAATAACATTTTATAAGACATTTTGTGAGTCTGTTATGTAGGCATGCTAGATAAGGGTATTCCTTTCATTTTATAATCTAGTTATGTCTCGGGATAATGCAGAAGGCTGCCATTATCAATAGTGCCGTCTGTGGCGGAGAAGGATCCAGTCGATATAGGGGGGGGGGGGGGTCTTACTAGATTGACGAAATGCGAGAGAGGGTCACTAAGATATTGTGGGTCCTGTAGTTTCAAGTGTTCTTTTTCTATGTTTCTCTCTTTCTTCTCCCTCTCCCTCTCCCTCTCCCTCTCCACTCTATCTCTTTGCCTCTTTCTTCTTTATTTGACTAATATTTTATAACAATAATTTGAATGGCACTACACCCGGCGGCGCTACGCCACTTGTTCAAAATCCATTCCATGACGCTTCCCTTATACAAGTTCATTTCATCTTACTTTTTATTCATTACCTAGAACCGATCGGCCCTGGCAGAAAACTACGAAACACCGAGGAGCGGTCGCGAAGGATGGTGGAGAAAAGAAATTCGGGAGACCCCGATGCCAGGTTCTTACGACTTCAAACCCTTCCTTGAGGATTTCGAGACCCGCCCAGCTACCTACTGCTTTAAAGGGGAGGGGCGCAAGAAAGATGCAGCAAAGCAGGGCAAAGGGGCAGCTCTCTTGCCGGGGGCGTACGAGGCAAAGGACAACATGTACTTCTTAGAACGGACAAGACATACGTACACATTCAAGAACACATCGAGATCAAAAGATTTACCCATTGTCAAAGATAAGGTAAACATAACTATTTATTATTTATAACTGTATAGGGATAAGAAAAGAAAGACGTCAACATTTTTTTTAAGGACTTCCTTGCAAAATTAAAAAGCATTGATGGATCCTCTTTCTATTGCAAATATAAAGTATAAATTACTACATTTCTCTCTCTCTCTCTCTCTCTCTCTCTCTCTCTCTCTCTCTCTATATATATATATATATATATATACCCCCCCCCCACCTGGCCCCCTCGCTCTCTCTCTCCCTCTCACTCTCTCTTTCTCTAGCAGTCGTTTTTAGCTCCATAAACCTCCCTTTTATCTCTTTTCTTCCTCTTTTCTCCGTCGTTTCTGGCACAATGGTAAAACAATAAACATGTAGGAAAATATCTTAGCCGTTAGGAGACAACAATCTTTAATAAATATGAATAAAAAAAGGGTAGGTAGATTTGAGTAGTATTCAGTTTCCTTTGGCATTTGACGTCATTAACTATTTTTAATGAAATGACAAAAGAAAAACAATAAAACCAGCTGGAAACTGAAAGATGACTGCTCAATGACATTAATGGACGTTTAATAGGCCTAGCAGACAATTTCAGGATATTGTGCTGTATTTAAGGCCCTTTGAATTTCCCCAATATCATAGTTACCAGCCCAAGAGTAATAATGATAAAAAGGCTTCCTCATTATGCGTATCAAAAGCACCTGCCTGCTCGTAAGTATTGGTGCACGTATCAATTTAAAACGAAAGGCACACCTGCACTGATCCATGGTATTATGAAATTAAATTAAATGTAAATGTGATATCATGAATAGATATTATTTTCAAATTAAGGGTTTTGACAAGTCTTGCGTGTTAAAGAATATAGGACCGAATTTTCTTCTCTCAGAAATGACACACCCCCCCCCCCCCCCCCCGCAATATGATATCTGTAAGACTCGCTCAGCTAGGGGCGGTGTAGGGTAATTTTCCTCCGCAACATGTTTCCTTTGTTTTATTTTCCCTTTCTTTTCACAAGAAGGAGAACAACAACAACAAGATAATATTTCGCTTTCATGTTTTCGTGCAACCTTTGGTCTAAAATGGTTTCTTTCAATTTTATTTCACCATCTTTGGAATAACTCGATGTTACTGTATTTCAATAGCCATGTCACTATTGATTAGTATAGATTGCGTTCCGTGCTTGTTCGTAAAAATTGACTTCTTTTTACTCACCAATCGTTGACAAGTCTTATGTCCTTGTCAGTTAATGACATATTGATGTACATTGTCATTGTATTTTATTCTTTCAGAACGTCAACGTTTGTCCAACCGCATACAAAATGGAAAATGTTCTTTCGTGTGCTGTCGAGAAGTCACCTTCAAAGTGAGTCGCTTTTTATTGTGTTTCGGGAGATAGACCTCTAGTGCAAAAAAATGTAGAAATTGCATTGTGCCACGTTGTTGAAGCCATATAGCCATAGCCATATAGCCAAAAGCCATATAGTAGAACTATATTCATAGTGGAAAAATATTGAAATTCCTCGAAATTTGGACATGGTTATAATGAGGGTATAATGAAGAGATACAAAGGTTAGTTTTAAGATATATATCAGGATGATCGTATAAAGGTAGCAAAGAAACGATATGAAGAACATGATCAGACAAAATGTAGCTAAAGAAGGGAAGGATGTTCTGAATATTATGATATAATTTGTATCGGACCATATTCATAATATAGATTATTGATATGACTGAAAAGATGGTGTTTAAAATATTTCCACGGAACGCATGTACCTAATAAAAGTAACGATTGGTGATCAGATCGACGCATATATAGAGAGAACAAATGCATTGATGAAAAGTAATGTTCTGTTTTCCACTTTTACTTCGCTCAGACATATGGTCTTCAAGTCGAATGCACAGCGATTTCCAACTATCTATTTCAAAGGGGTGAGTATTACAATTTAAAAAGGACTGACTTGAGTTGCAACACAAAGCACCTTTACTGCTGTGTTCATATCGTCCACGTCTGTTCAGAGCCAGAAGGACGTGAACTCTGTTAAATAGTTAGCTATGAGTTATAACACCCTTCTGGTTCCAAACAGAAATGCTCGTTATTGATTGAGAAGGAATGAAAAACAGAGAGAGTAGAGAAAGATGGGCCTTTCAGATATAACATCACATCAGACAAACATAGAGAAAACACACATTTCTGCTCATCTTGATGTTATTGGCCATACCGAAATCATACTCTTAATTTCTACAAAATTATTTAAAAATCAAGAAACCGCCTCGTTTGTCCCATAGAAAAGAAACCTTTTCCTAAAAATATGACTAATAATGAGTTAATACAAAGTCTGAAGTAATTCCGACATCTTTAATCTTACTGCTGTTTACTGAAGAATATTTGTTGACTCCCAAAGTGATGCACTTTTGATGTCATCGGTTATAGTTTTCTTGGCAAGATTTCCATTTCCTTATTATTATTATTATTATTAGGCATTTAGCTACGCTATTCATAGTACACTATATCACAGCGCTTACAATAATAACCACAAATCATAACATAACATAACATTGAACAACAAAAAAAAAAATAGCGAATCAAGTAGGAAATAAATAGGTTTTAAGGAGTTTCTTAAAAACATCCACTGATGCAGCAGCTTTGATACTGGAGGGAAGTTTATTCCACTCCTTAGCTGCTGCAACAGTGAATGTGCGATCTCCTGCCTTACTACGAGCCACATGAAATGTCAGTCGAAATGGGTCTGCATTGGAGCGAAGGTTTGTACGTACAGGTTGATACAACTCAAGACAGTCACTAAAATACTCTGGTGCCTGATCATGAAAAAATTTGTATACAAATAAAAGAATCTTAAAAACAATCCTCTGTTTGATTGGCAACCAATGAAGGGAATGTTAGTAGAGGCATGGCATCGTGACGACGGTCTAAACGAAAAATAATACGAGCCGCCCAGTTCTGTAAACTTTGAAGTCTTCTTATATATGTTTGAGGGACTTCTGTAAGCAACCCGTTACAATAATCCAACCGGGAAAGAACATGGCTGCGAATCACATGATGACATGCATTTTCAGATACATACTTCCTAATCTGTGATACATTCTTCAACTGATATCGTACAGATTTACAAAGCTGGTCTATTTGGTTAGACATGGACATATTGCAATCAAAAATGACACCAAGGTTCTTGACCGATGTAGATGGTGCAATCTGGGTGGTTCCGAATGTAAGATTAACATCATTAATGTTTCCCAAGTTGTGTTTGGAGCCGATTACCAAAAACTCTGTCTTTTCCTCATTTAGTTTAAGCTTATTCCTTCCCATCCACATACTTATATCTGTGACACAATCTGAAAAAGTTTTTAATGCAGTATTTAAGCCATTAGGTTGCTTAGGGTTAAATGTAACATACAACTGTGTATCATCAGCGTAAGTGTGATATGAAACGTTATAATGTCTAGCGATGTCTGGGACAGGCAAAGTATATATAGTATATCCTATGGGTCCAAATACAGATCCTTGAGGGAGACCTACTTTGTTAGAAGCTACTACTGACTGTTTCCCCCTAATTTCAACACATGTGGACCAGTCTTCCAAATATGACCTAAACCATCTCAGAGCTGCACCCTCGATTCCTAGCCTTTAAATGTCCTTTCATCGTCCTTTAAATGTATTTATACTTCACGAATAAAAGAAAATTCTTATCTAATTCAATCAATTTTCTTAATTTCTGTGTTCAGACGAAAAACCCACCTCCATGTCAATACGAGTACCGTGAACCCCAGGCACTACATCAGATCTCATCTAGCTTCAAGTCACGAACGCCAAGATTTGCCACATCACATACGGTAAGCAATGTATGATGATGGAGATTCATAATTCCGAAAATGATGCGTTTACTTTCAAATAGATTGCATTGAAGTTTAACAAAATGTCACATACGGTACCTATATTAAATTGGATGGGTAGTAGTTTAAAAAAAATACCAACAAATTCACAATTTAACTTAAGATTTCAGAATTTTGATTGTGAGAATTTTCGTTTACGTTAATTTCTGTTAAAATATAATACCATTCCATTTTAAATTACTTCTAAAACAAATCAACGTTTCAAAAAAGGAATAAGTTGTCGTTAATTTGCTTATTGTTTCTTATTTTATTCACAGAAAGTTCCTGGTCCCGGTTCATATGAGAAGACATATCAGTCACCCATGCCAGCTACCATCACCAAAATGGGTCGAAATCATGGTCTTTTCTTCACCAGTGCTTTCAGTGTTTGATCATAATGGACCCTCAAAAAGACTACATGTTGAACTTGACATTATTATCTTGAAACAAGAGGAATAACAGAATGATGAAATAAGTTGTTATGGATATAAGAGATCCCATGTGAAGATGCTCAAGACTTTCACGACTTCCACGTGCACGGTGACATAATTCATCGAAAGGAACAATGACGCACTGTTGGTGAAGATAACAGATTTGGGATGGATTTGTTAAAAAGAGATTTTGTACAAGCGAGGCGATACTAACTTCAGTAACTATAAGTTTTGGCGTGTGCTATTAGAAATGCGAGTTTGATAGCTGAAACGTCTATGAAGTGATAAAACTACTGCAAACGTTCCCGGAATTACGTTTCTAGAGTTAACAAAATGGGCCCCTTCACCTGCGGAGATCCCCAAATTATATTCCCGAGAAATACCTTATTTCCTCCTACGCCGCCCCCCCCCCCCCAGCCAGCAGGAGTCGCCAAATCATACAACCGGGAATTCCTCCCTCTCTATGACAATCATGGATCCTCCAGAGGTGCAGGCATCGCCATAAAAAAAGAGGACATTTCAGAGGCTTTCCAGTATCTCATGATTATAATTTTTGTCTTGATTAATTTGTTCTTTCTTTGAGGAAACATAGTGCTGCATTTAAGCACAACATTTTGATGAATCATCTTTTTATTGAATGTATATAAACATAAATCCTTCATATATCTTTCTAATTGAGTGAAGTTGCAACCTCAAAACAATCTTTTGACTTTACATGGTAAATACATGTTCATGTATAGTCTATCTTAGATGCAATTTTCCTTGCTAATGTGCTTCACTAATGGCTGCAATGTGTCTTTGAGCTTGAGTTTGCAATAATTGGATCAGCATTTAGTTTGTGTTATTACAAACGTTTTTTTACATGTGGAATAAGTTATGTTTAAGACATAAATCATACATCGACCGGATATGTTTGAAAATATTTGAGACAAATCATTCTTCATCAAGCTATGGACCCCTCCGTGAGCCATCTCACTTCCAATGAATGATTTATTCTAATTCTTTGAATTAATGATTAGTTCATAATATCTAATATATCTTCATAAGATTAACACATCCGAGAAAAAGTACATAATATTTCTTGGAAAATATTAAATTTGACTAACAGTTCACATCATCTATTTATCTAACTTTTGGGGTTTATCTACACAGATGACAACATCACAAGGCACAACTGTGATGAGAAATAGGATTCTGATTTTTAGTTTTTGATACATGTTTTACAGAATGCCTTTCATTGTCTTCTAAAGTTCTCAAAAAATGTTCACATATGCAATAAAGTGTTTTGTTGCAATATACAATGCTTAACAGTGATAAGAAAACAAAAATAAGGACACTGTACATTTTTATATTGAATTTTTGAATGTGTATCATATAGATTTTTATTGCTAATAAATTGAAACCATCAAATATCAATGACTTATTTCTAATTTCATATGGTATTATATTTATGGTATGGAATGTTGGGAGTAAAATAAATCAGAAAGTAAGAAAGAAAGTAAGAAAGAGAGAGAGAGAGAGAGAGAGAGAGAGAGAGAGAGAGAGAGAGAGAGAATTTGAAGATAAACATGGAGAGAAAGTGAGAGAAAGAAAGAAAACCCAACATACAATTTCCATCACTAACAGCACATAATAATTAATTTTTTTCATCTCTGGAGAAAAATCAAATTAACACATGATTGACAAAGATGATGATGATAATGGTAATGAAGTGTAATAGAGAGTCTCTGTAGAATGCAGAACTGATCAATTCAGTGACAAGTAAGAACAACAAACAGGAATGCATCATCATGGAAGCCATATTATATTAAACATTACCAAGAAAATATTTATCATTTCTGTGTTCAAAATACATGTACATGTATATCCTTCTGAATCTATAAAATGTAGTTTGGGAAATATACATGTACCTCCCTGCATATTAGACTTCATCACTTTTCAAATCCTTTTGGAATCAGTTACTTTTACAAGATGAATTTGATTTACAGTGTAGTTCTAAATCATGGATCTGTTCAACGTGTGATTTTGTGGCACATCTAAAAGGTTAACAAAATCACATTCATAATTAAAAAAAAAATTATCAAAACATACAAACCATCCATGAAATATTCTATAAAATGTCTGCACAAAAAATTCTATAGTATCTTAAGTACTTTCTGTCCCTCTTCCTTTCTTTAATAAATAATTTGTGACAAAATGTTTTCAGCATGGCTCATCATGGGGAATCAAGCCCACAATAACGCACACAAAATATATTTCTACACCTGTTCAACTACAAGCCACAGTAGATTCTTTTGCATGTGCTTGTAAGTAAGCAACTAGCATATCGACTTGGTTTGAACCCTGGACCTCCCGGTTACAAGACCACTGCTCTACCACTGAGCCATTATACCTCCATTATTACTCTTAAAGAATTGTACATGCCTTTACAGTAGTTGTGATTGAAATTTGAAGATCTATGGAGAGTGTGTTGACCATGAAGATATTTCATCCTCAATACATTTACCAAAAATGGGCACAAACATTGCAAGTACAAGTATGTGCATGATTTTGTTTACACACGTATTACTTACAACATTAAATTATCCTTAAATTAAATTATCCTTAAATATAAGTAAAACTAATTTTATCCGTTTTAGAACTATTAACTCCCAAGACCAACCACAATGTAATAAGTTTATAGATGGTTTATCCCTGGTAGAAAAGCAATCAACAAAATTTTTAGGAGTTATTATTGACTCAAATTTGTCTTGGAACGAACACATTCATAACATAAATATTTTGATATCCCGGAATATTGGTATTTTGTATAAAATGAAATGTTTGATAAATGATAGATTCTTTATAATACTTTAATTTGACCGTATATAACATAATGTAATATTATATGGGCAAACTGTAGTAAAACTAAAAGAAACTCAATATTTCTTTTGCAGAAGAGAGCAATTCGTATTTGTACACACTCTAACTATCTTACAAATTCGAACCCGACTTATATCCCGACACAGCTTCCTCGATTCTGTCCCACTACCTGAACAGAATCCTCCACCATCAGCCAAGCCCATACTCATCAAAGGACTTAACCTGAAGTGGCCGGAGTGGCAATGCCTAAATCGAATGCGGACGAGAATGGGGCGGTGTAAGGTCAATATAGCAAGATGGGGCTATGCCCATGAAGGAGATACTCTCTGCGACTGCGGAGAGACTCAGACGATGGACCACATCTTGCAATGCGTCGGAACGGGTTGCACAGATGAAGACCTGGCCCTTGTTAATGAAACGGCCATTGCAGCAATCAGGCGATGGAAGAATTTCATTTCATTTAATTTAATTTTAATTAAGGAACTTTACATAACTACCTTGATCTAAGGAGACACGAACGAACAAACTGTCTTGAGCAGTTATTCTTTTTGTTTAATCCTGTAGCTTCTGCCAGTAATGGATACAAAAATGCTCCTTAGTTGAGAACTTTCATCAACTCTATAAGAACAATTTATTCCTTATTTCGCACTTAGGACAGAAGTAGGCCTAGATAGAGGTATTATTTCAGTCTATCACTAAATTCTCCTTTTTAATGGGGTAAACCATTGTCTTGGTATCATCTGCTTCCAGAAGTCTCCTCATCGGTTTGCTCCTCGGCAGCTTCTTGAGTTACTGCTTGTAAGAAGTCTCTCCTCAACAACTCCTGAAGCTCTTCAGCTGATAAGGCTTGTTCAGGGAACATCCTCCTCGTCAAGGCTGCTACCTGAGGATCACCGCTTGCATCACAGTCACTATCATGGAAGTCATGAGCAGAGTCAGAGGAGATGAGATGTCTGGCGGAATCGTGCCTGGCCTCATTGAGAGTTCTGAGCATATCTCTGGAAGTTATTTTCTTGTTGGATGCTTGACCTGTGCTTGTTTTCCCTTTAAGCCTTTCTAGCTTTCCCTCTGCAGAATAACAAAATTGACTCATGAATTTATATTTAATCAAAGGACACATAGTATACCGTAGATAAGATTAAGACTCTAGATTAAAGGCTAAAGCCATGGATTTTGAAATGAAATGATTGAGGCACTAAACAATGATACATTGTAATACATTTGGTTGATTTAACAACAAACTGTTTCTGCAATTCTGTATACACACACGGTTACTTTTATCATATCCCCATATTCTTTAGTGCTTTAGTTTAGTCCACACATAGGTGCATTACTATCCTGGCTGTGTATTAAAATAAAAGCTGTGCTATTGATTCTCAACATTTCAAACACCACTGTACAAAACTCAACTGATTTCACTCAAAATCGGTACTTTAGTGACGATTGATGACACCTAAATAGCAGTAAAATACAATTTTTTTCAACTTTCCGATGTTAGAAAGAATAAGTTTAAAATTCAAATTGCGAGTCCACTGTCAAACTTGCCGATCAACCGCATCGGCATGATTGTGTGCATCTGTGTATTACGAGTGTATTGACTAAAAAGCCTTTTGTTAAGTCAACGCAAACCGGGAGCCAAATATCTGAAAAAGCGGCTCCCGGTCCCTAATTTTTTCAGAGAACCGGGAGCCGTTTTCCAGGACCAGGAGCCGTTTCCAAAATTGATGAAAATATGTATTCTTCTAAATGATTTGTTTATCGTTATCTTTTATTTATACATAGTTTAATTTCTACTTTTAATTTTGAGCACTCATCACTCGATCATACCTTGGATAAATCTGTCATTTGTAGTTGCTGTAGTTCATGTTTAAAACTATATTCATGCCGTTAAATGTCAACGATTGAAAAATGTTAGGAAGGGGGAATTAAATTATTAATAAAAAAATATTTAAAACAACAAACAAAAAACAAAAACCAAAAATCGAATTTGTCAAGTTTTAGGCCATCAAATACTAAATAAACATGCAAAGCTGGGATTATTTTGTCATTTGGAGTTGTAGACCATGTTTGTTGATATGAAGTGCCTTTTCATGACTTTTAAATTAATAATATTAGTCTAAGAGAAGAGGCAAAACATGCGAGTCGCCATGATGACAATGGAATCCAAAATGGCGGCTCACATTTTTTACCAACTAATGTCATTCATTTCAAAGTCATGAAAAAACACTAAATATCTACAAACGGGGTCTACAACATTTCCGAATGACAAACTAATCCCAGCTATGCAATTTTTTAAAAGTATTTGATTAATGTTCTGCATTATTTTGTTGCTGAAATTTGAAAACAAACTCTTGCCTTTATTTCCATTTTATAGATCTATTATCATTATTAATATTAAGGCTGATATGATTATTGAAACATCATCATTAGCATGGACATAATTTACAGATATCATTCATAAATATGTATTTTGAAGAGCACTTAGACTAGACCCTAATTAGGATTGGGTAGGGTGGCACTGTTATTGGTAATTTAATAAAGTACAGTACGTAGATATGAACAGGTGGGACTGTACTGAACACTGATGACGCTTACCTAAAGACTGTAAGTAACCGTCTGCTTGCCATGTTTCCTTTTCTTGACTTTGGTTGTTTAAACTGGCAATATTACTACTCGTCGGTGAAAAATTATCATCGAAAGAAAGTTCGTGAGTTTCTCTACATTCTTCACTCACTTTCCCAAATGCAAGATCGTTGCGGTTGTCGTCGTTTTCCATTTTTTCTTTTTAATAAAAGTAGTCTACGGTCAATGCGCAGCCGACATTTGAGTTTGAGCTTTTTGATGGCGCCGCCCACTTTTCCTCTCCGAATGTCTCTTAAGCTTATTCTCCTTCAACTTGTAATCTTCAAAGGGCTATGCAGCCTATCTCAAATATTCTCATTCAAGTGGGATCATCACAATCACATATACCGTAGTCTTCATTAATGTGTTTCAATGAGATCCTTCTCTCTCCTTTTAGTCTATTAAAAAAAAAATCATCTCATTTTCCTCCAACCTGCACAACTTTCATCTTCCATCACCGTCTTTAATTCCTCCTCACACTCCTCCTTTCTCTCCCCTAACCCCTACCACCTCCCCATTATTTTTAAGTCTCTTTCTCTCCTCTCCTTGTCTCTTCCCCCTATATCTATCATTTTCTCTCTCTACCCCTCTCTCGATCTCTACGTTAATTAGTGAAGTAATCTTTTTATATATATACTAATCAAACGCCTAACAATTTCAAACACTCAATTAGCATTACTCGACACATTTATTAAAGCAATATATCCTATATATAAATTAATCTGTAAGATAGAGATGTAAATAAGAGTATTTACATGTCATATGTTCTACACATATAACACTCCAATTCGGAGGCTTCTATAAATGCTTTCCTCTGATGTTTTCCATGTTTAAAACTATTCATCTACTGGTATACATTGTATGGGGCATGTGAAATTATTTAACGAGATCTAAACAGTCCCTCTTTTCCCCAAAACAAATGCAACATAGATAAGCAAATAATAACATATTTATGTTACTGTATAATGCATTTCAAAAAAAGTTTCCACCCAATAAACAAAGTCTCACTATATGCTAAATGTGGGAGGCAAAAAAGTAATGAATTTTAACTTAATGTAAACCATATTATCTACCCTAATTTGAAATTACATTGTTATCCTGAAATAATGTTACAAATAATGTGTTGGTATTTGACAACCTTGACGATTTCATGTAAAGATCATTTACATTCATTTGAATAATACATGTATCAACAAATCATATTTCTTTATTTTCAACTGCACATGTCAAAGTGAAAACATGTTATTTTATTCATTACAATAATTATAACATTCTAGTATAGCTGACTTTTATTTTATATTAAAAGTTTTCTTTTCTTTTTTACACAAAATGTTTGAAGGAACCAAATTCTACATCAATTAATGATATGCTAACATCACAATATTGGTTAAAATAGACAGATATAATTGGAAATGATTTTAAAGTACAAAAGTGGAATTCCTGTTTACATCTTTATTATACTTGCAGATACACATTTAGACTAATATCAACATTACCAGATGTGAAAATAATATCAATTTCAATGTAAAAGAACAGCATAATCATAAAGTCTTATTTTAATTGTTGACATAGTATAATTTCTACAATGACATACATAACATCCAATGTTGTATAGCATTTGGTAATTACATAATATAAGTATACTTGTACAAATCTGTATTCATTCATTTCAGATTAAAAAGTTCTAAAGAAATGTAGCTTTTGCAATGATAATACATGCCCAGAGATATTCAAAAGAGCTAATAATAGGTTATTTTAATCAATAACCATCTCCATACAGCAAAAATGATATTATACATGTGCCAGCTTTAAAACCACTAAGTACTTGTATCAAAATCGTCATCAAACTGCACTAGTGACCTATAGCGACACTGATGTTACAAAATAAAATAACAAATCACAACAGTAGTTATACACAATTACTATATCTTTTCAACTAATATCTTTCTCATATGTTTGTCTTTTGTTGGTAATTAGAAATCAAAGTGTCCAATGTGTTTATCCTGTGTATAAAATCAATAGTCCTGAGATCCTTGTCTACTTTTCCTTTTAATACGGTAATGATAAGTCAACATGGATAACATTTGCCGTAATTTTGAATACTCATATGAATTGCTAATGCAGGATGGTGTATTTTCTTATTTGCAAGTGGAATTTTCCAACATCTCTGTTTTGCTCTTGTGTGTGGTAATCCCCCTCCCCCTTCTCTGTCTTTTTATTCTCTCTCTTTCTCTCTCTCTTTCTCTCTGCCTGTAAACTTAATAAATATTGACTAATGTGACTAATGTTAATTCCCACATTAAACAACAACATCATCATTAGAGGCAATAACTCATTATAAATTTGCAATGTTATGCCTCATCAAAAAAAAAAAAATCTTTGCATATCATACATTTAGGCAAAATTAGACCAATTCGTCCAGGTGGAAACTTTTATATAGTCTGAGATATAAAAGGATCAAGGCTATTGCATCTTTATATAAGGAGAAAGGACGGAAATATGAAAATAACATTACAAAAACAAATTAAGGTGTATGTCCTTCAGTCTTCGTCATCTGAGAAAACATCTGTGGCCTGTGACAAGGAGGTCATCTGACGACTCACTCCTCCTGGAGGGAGGGGAAAAAAAATGGAAAACGTTTGAAGGAACCATGGTGGAATTCAATTAAATGCACTAGATGGATAGGTTCAGCCATTTGTATGCTAATTCACCAATCTCCAAGAAACTTGATGTACCTTCACTGTTACGGTATTTGTTGTCTTTCCAAAAAGAGTAAATATGAATAAATGTTTGCTTAAATGTAGATCTTCTTTGTGACAATTTAATAACATAGTTGAAACACTACCTTTGAGAGTATGTGTACTTTTAACTATTTTCTTATGTGATAATCTAATGCATTATTCTTCTATTCTTAATGTTGTAAATGAAAGTAATAAAGATGAATATTTCGGTACCTTGCATTGGTGCTGGCTTGGTGGGCGTCCCAGCAAATCCTCTGAGAAAAACAAAATAAAAGTTTGCGCAAAGAGGAATGGTGAGGAGAATAAACTAAATTGTAGAAGCTAACAGTCTCATATACATTAGGGGAAAGATTGACTAAGAAGAAAAATCAAAAATATTAACAACTTGCTATTTGTTCAAAAAGTTTTCTATGAAACATCAATAGAAGAATGCAAAATCTACATCATGTCAAGGTCATGTACCATGTTGGTAATTCCTTTCCATTTATCATAGTTTTCCCCCCATTAAACTGTCATAACATTCAAATGATGAAGTAAAAACAGTCTGTAAGGTGTCATTCCTTTGTAGCTTATCTATTGTTTACTTTGTCTTTGTAATCCCATTAAAATTCATACCCTTAACAGTAATTGTCCACATCCAAATGATCAACATTCAAGTTTCTCTCATTGAGAAATTACCTTTACTGTACATGGCCTTTAAACACTAAGTTACTAGATGCTATGTCTACTAGATATTAACAGCAAAACATGATAGTACAAAAGCATGTCAGTGTAGTTTAGTCTCCTTGTTATTTTGATTCTATTTTTAATACTTTCTCCTTTTTATTGTGTTTTTGATTAAAAAGTTGCTTAATTTTCAATTCATTTCATCAGAGTTGTAGATATAATAATAATAATAGCTAGTTCTTATATAGCGCTTTCCAGGACCAAAGGCCCTCTTAAAGCGCTTTACAGATATATATATATTATTACCCCGGTCATATAGAGCACAATATAATGAAAGAGTAAGATTATATTATTATATTGTGTCTACACTGAAAATTTCCATCACCATTCCTTGGGTTTCAATTCACAAGCTCTTTATTATTTTAAACTGACCATGGACATTTCAGAATGGAGGCACTTTATATATCATCCTTGATAAAATCATGCAATCATATTTACCAATGTGAAATGCACATCAAATTAAGTTTACAACATTCATCTTATAATCCAGTGAATTCAATTAGCTAAGATTCAATATTGAATTAATAAGCACAATATCTATGAAGCATACCAACTACGAAAAGAAAAGCAAAATACTTATTGTTCACATTATCTATGTAATTAGAAATTAGATCACAATCAAACAAATATTAAAGCATTGAAATGACATGATGATAAGATTGAGATGAAATAAAATTAGATGAAGATGAAAGAATATATTGATAAGAAATGGATGCAATGGGGGTAAAAATATGAGATGGAGTGAAGTGAAATATAATGAATCAAATTATTACATGAGTATGTCATGAAATCAATTAGAAATTGAAAAATGATAATGAAATGGATGTTACTAATGAATGGATGACAAAAACATTGAACATGAGTGATGACCTTACATGAAACCTATTACCAAGGTACTATAGGAATACAGAAATTATTATGATGAACATTATTTGTACAGGATGCTTTTTGATCATTATGATTTCAAGCGAACATCTGAAATTGAAATATCAAGATGTATGAATTTCTCATAAATTTTAAATGTATGATACTGACAAATTAGTGTTTTATTTCTTGTTTAAACATTATAGATATGAGAAAGTTGTTTTGACTACATTGTGTGCTTAATATTATCATTATTCAAGAGTTCTATAGGGTTGAAAAATAACATTCTCAGTGCCCAGTGGGTTTTATCATTTTCATGTCTACTTCTCTCAAATAAGAGAATAAGATGATAAATATTACTCTAATCTGTAATAACAGTGTTTTTTCATGTTGGGATTAAACAAGAATAGCAATACATCCACAAACGGAAGCCATCATAGGCGGGTAAACTACAATAAACAAACACCAGACACCCCCGAAATGAAACAAATAAACTTACTCTCTCTTGGTCTGATCTTCTTCTGTTTCTTCATCTTGTTCTGACCCGACAGGAGCCAGGGTCTGAGGGTTAAACTGGTTCAGTGGTTCACCAATGATACCAATGCTGTTGTACAGATGGAAATAAAATGTCTTTAATACCAGAATCATACCACGCAAAGTGAATGGACATTGACAAAGCACACATATGTTCATGCACTAAAATTAGCATATGAATCAATAAAACAACAAAACAAAGCAAACCTGGTGCAGAAAAATGATCTCACAATTTGACAAGAAGTTAAACTTTCAACAGCAGTTATTTGAATTCCATGACGCATAAGTGTTCGGGTATAACTTTCTATTTAAAAAAATAATATCCACATAATTAAAAGGTGTGACATTTACAAATCAGCTCTCTGCTTTGGAGGCACACTTTACACCCAATCTCCAAAATAATCTCAAAGTAGATCAGAAGTATTTTCTTAATACTTATCATTCTATACACATCTTTGATTACTAAGGTGATGATTAAATGATTTCCGACTTAAACTGCTAAAGATCTTTTCATGAATACATGTTTTATATAATCTCTACTCACTTTTTCTTGAAGAATGAAGGTCTTCCTTTTCCAGCTGGTGAATTAGAATCTGGTGTTTGAGATTTTCTGTGAAAAGATAAAAATTCATTTAGTAAGATCAAAATTAGAATAGAAAAAAAAAGGCGAGGACTTAGCTAGCATACATAATTTTCTCACATTCTTTCCTTCTGTCAGAAATTATCATTTTAATCAAAATTTCCTACACATTTAAAAAGTAATAATCTAAATCTAAATATTTCAAAGGGGAGACAAAGAAGTACTTATATAACAAATTGTCAGTTCTGATTAAAAAATTTAAAAAAGAAGCAAAATATCTTCTTTGGTGGTAGGAAAACCAAATATGGATTCCCAAATAAAGTATCCTTGTGCAGCAATGAACCCCTAATATTTGTCTAGTTTTTCTGAAAGAATTAAATCCAGTTTCTTACCCAGAAGCATCCAATGTCATCTTGCCGAACAAGTATTCATTAGCTTCTTTAGGAGTGGGGAGTAATGACTTGAGAACTGGTGATCTCGTCCTGATAAACAAGATGAGTAAAACACATTTCAAACATACATCATTGCTATAAATATTCAACTTAATGCATCTGAAACCTTAGTCTACAATGTTTCAAAATATGTCATATTACAAAGAAAACAAAATCATGGTAAATATTAGTTCAGTAGCCCATCATTTGAATATAACTCATTAATATATTTCATTTTTGGCATCACTGAAATATCCTTTACAAATTCTTCACATTACAATATTTGTTTAAAATATAATAAGTATTTCAGACATTATATATTTGTTCTTATCTTGTCATACTCACTTGATTATATTTGTAATTGAAGGTCTCTCTCTGGAATAGAAAAAGAAAGAAAGTGAAATTACTTTTTACAAAAAATGCAAATATATATCTGTCATCCATTGAACGATTGAAGTCAATACAAATTCCTTCTATGTGTGCACATTATTTCTAAAAGCATAGCATATATCATGTGCACATTATTTCTAAAACAATCAACTATATCATAATTCAAAGTTTTTTTTATGAAATCATTATTGTATCAAGAGTATGGATTTACTGATCAATGCATGGTAATAGAATAAAAAATATTATCATTTAATCTTCAATGGGACAATATTCAAATTCCAAGCTAACATACTAATCAGTAATTGGTTTAACATAATTATGTACATTCTGAAATATTTCTATACAAGAAATTAAGTGAAAGTTATACTATAACAGTAATTCTGATACATAGACAACTTAATTAAAAAAGAAAAAAAGAGAAAATATGTTAAACATCACACACTACTGATTGCCCTGGATAGCATGTGATAGAAATTGCTTGCATTGATCGTACTTGTTGGCAATGAGATGAGAGAATATAACTTGATAACGTACCTATTTTGTCTTCTTCTTTCGGCTGGAGTGGTGGCTGGGGTGAAGGTAAACATATCCCTGATTGCTTCTTCTTCATTCTCAGCATCTTCATCCAAGGAATTCTTGACTCGCAGGGCAGGGTTGAACACATCAGACCTCAAGATTCTGAAATTAAAATCAATCAGTAAGGTTCAGTCATCTTCATGGACCTTTTAACCTTTTTGATAAGTTCTGTTGAGAGCCAGAAGGGCAGTAACTCTGTGCTAAAGATAATAATTTAATACCATTCTGATTATAAACAGACGATAACAAACACTTACAAATTGATGATTTTTATCATCATATTAGATATTATGTCTGATTAGGGCCATTTGTTTTTTAAACTTTTGTATTACTGATGATTCTTGATTGTTTTGTGCACCTCGGGTGCTACTTTAGGCAGTTAGGTGTTATTAGATTCTATATTAATTTACATGTGATATTCATTTACATCTTATTCAAAAGAATTTATACACTCTTTGAAAAATGCAATATGATACTGCAATATGTTACCGTCACCTGTATGTAATTCACATCTGGGAGTTTTGAGTGTAGATGAATGCCAACTTTTGAACAGGCTTTTATTAATCCAGCGCAAATGAAAGTAATGAAAACAAAATACAGTACTAGAAAGAACTGAATTTTGCAACTCACCTTCCCAGCTCTTTGTTGATGAGATCATGGTCCTTTCTTCTGAATACCAGCCATACCAGGTATACACAAAACTTATACAAAGTCTGTTCAATGGAACAAAAATGTAAACAAAACATAAGTTGATTAATCATTTAAAAAATATTAACTTGGAAAGTTCATCTGGGCCATTAAGCATAAAAATGTGACTAACAGCCAATTGCAAAATTTACTGTGTCTCTGATCTTGTTGCAATTATGATTATCTTACCAAGCATTGTATCTATCCACTAAGGTACTGTAGCATAACTAGTCCAGTAGTTTAGTAAGACGTAGAGGGCGTTATAGTTAATTGTGAAATATATATGTGTACATCGTGAGATGTCAGTCAGTCAGCGTTGACCTGTCGTTGCGACAGGTCAGGCAGAACGCTACCCGGCAGAGCCCGGTTACGCCACAGTACTATTCATTGTAATGATTGATGAAGGAGATATGATTTATCTAAAGGAGGTATGATTACTTGTAAGTCTTTATGTTTTATCAACACAGTCATTTTAATTTATTTAATTTATCAATAGGTCAATTATTAAACTTTCACCCACTCTCAAAACAGAAAATTGTCAAACATCAAATAAATTTCCTGTTGTTTTCACTGAACTACCAACTGAAGAAAATAAATGACACACATTCACATGTTCTCCAAGAAATTATGAATTTTTGTGAGTGAAGTGAAATATAAATTCCATGTATTAACTATGGATGTAAAGATATTCAATTTAGACAATTCAATTTCCACAAAGTTTATGTTGCATGTTATAACAAAGGAATGTTATAAATAACTTCTCAAATAAACACACAATGTTAGATATTTCGACACTTACTTCATATATTTCTCTATCTTTGTATGTAGATGACTGTCTCTTCCTGTCACATGATAATAAAAGAAAACAAAATTATAACTGGCATTTGTTAATATAAAAAACTGCCTCTTGACAACAACTAAATCATTACTGAAATGCAGCCAGAATAAAAAAAATAATCCATGCCCCCTTAAAAAAAAAAGATTTAAAAAAAGAAGAAAAGTGAATCAGGGCTTATCAGTGGATATTTAACAATAGGGAAGATTAATTGTAAAGCAGTGGCTCGAGCAGTCACAGTAGCTATCAAAGGAAAGGGGTCAATCAATACCTAATTTTTATGGCATTTATTCTGGTATGCCGGTTGCAGCAGGACTTAAATATATAACAGATAACTGGTTTTATAGAATGTGATATGCCACTTACATTCCACTGCCCATGTGATGATGTTCATGCAAACCAAGACCAAGAATAAGAATACAGTAGCTCTGGGCTAGATGCCTCTGAGCTACATCCATACGCTCTGTGATTTCAGCCATGGCCGCTTGCTCTGCAAAACTGGGTTCACTGTTTTATACACAACAAAAAATAATGCACTCAATTAAATGTTCTGTACCCCAGTGACCACATATTGATAGTATTTACTTTTGTAACCTGCACAGGAAAAATAAATCTTACTTGAGTTGATAAATTCCTTTCGGAAAACCTTTCTTACCGGCCAAGCTTTCAATTTAGTACACATAGTACACCACTTTATGTGAATAATATATGTGTGTGTAAAGTATTTAGAGACACAGTGGATAAACTGAGTATTATACAAATTAAAATTATGAAATTATAAAACTGCTTATCACAATCATACTGCAAAATGTATCTTGATAGACATGTGACAAGCCTTCATGTTATCTTTGAGCAGCTTTGTTCTTACGTGGTCATCTGCTTGGGTCTGTTTTCCAAAACACTTCTGTCAAAGTAACTTGAAAAGTAGTTCAGTAATCCAAGGAGAAACTCATCAAATTGGTCTAGTCTGAAATGAAAATTATACATTCATACGATGATGGTCAGAGTAATATAATAATGATACTAAGCCTGCTACAAACATTAAATCTACTGCTAATAATACCATTTCAATTGTATCTAAAGGTAGAAAATTGATGATGCTTAGAGCTCCAAATCCGGAAAAACAAAAACAGAATACTATCAATAAGTTCAAGTATTAATCCACAGCAGAAGAGTGATAATCTTTTTATAATCCATTGCATTCATTGTAATATTTTGTCTTACCATTGACTATACAAAATATACATTCAATAATAACAACAACAACATTGTATTTTTCTCCTGCTTCATTTTTGAAAGTCTTTAAAAAAACGAATGTGAAAATAAAGAAATGAATGTTTACCGGTATATAACAGAGATCTTAAAAGAAGAAAAGATGAAGCTACCATACATTCACTTCCATTTCTAAAAATATAAATTCCCATGACAACTTACTCAAATAAGCACATCTCAAATGAATCGGTGGGAAAGTTGACTTCATTAAGCATGAACAGGGCAACAGCTATGAAGAGAAATATGGTGATAGTTTGATTACTTACATCCACTGTGATGTTAGAATTTAGCTAGGCTATTCTTATTTGAAATGGTTAGTAATTCTAAAATAGAAAAATACGGATCCATAATGTGCAGTATGCTTATCAAGTATATGATAATGAAGTGTGAGATGATTAATCTAAAAAAAATTGTATTACTAAATCAGATGACTGCACAATTTAAACACTAGGTAAAAACTACCTTAATATTCATATAATGAAGACAAAGTTTATATTCTTAGTGATATATATACAATTATTTTTTTTTGTAACTAGAGCAAGCACATCTGTTTTATTACTTTGTCAACTTAAAAAGTCAATATTTTACCTTTGAAGGCAAAATTTAAAATATTTATAAACAATATTTCAACAATGCATCCAAATTACATCCTTTATTTTATCCTCGCTTCTGAATAACTGGTTCACTGTAATCAAGCTTTTGATGAAGAATATGAATTTTCTTAATCAATCTATTATAATGACGATCTACTATCTACTATGATACTATCACTGATACAAGCATTATGTCAATAACAAGTAACAACATCAATTTCTTGTTCGGTACTGAAAACATGATTGAATCTTCTTTGTCTCACACTTCACTCTCTGCAATGTCACAGTTGTTTCTTTTTCCACTTTGTTTGACCTTGCTGACCTAGCACCAATACGCTGATTCCCCTTTGACCCTCCTTGACCTTTTCCATCGAGTCGGTTTGGTGTTGCTCTGCATAAGAAAAGAAAATAATTCAAAGCATTTATATTACAAACTCATGACAATTCTCCTAATCTTTGTTCTTTAACCATTACTGGAGGATTAGTCATATTTATTGCAATTACTCGGTGAAAATCATAAAAGGCAGAATCAGTTATCACATAAACTTGTAACATTCTCTATTGGATTAATGTTCAATTAAATAGATATCATATGAAAACAAAGAAAGTATGCTAACTAACCATAGTAAGATTACAAACTTCCTTTCAACAATTCAACACCTTTCTAATCATCCTGTTATCAAAGTACACAGCTTGGGGGAAAGTAAAAGTCATAAAAAACACTTTACAATAACATTTAGAACTTTTATATTTTCTACAATTACATGATTATTAGTTTGCGAATCTTCGATTGGGTAAAAAAAAAAAAAAGGGTTGATACCTGTCTTTCTTGTTTCCAGCCTCCCCAAAAGTATGATTTTTCTTCCTCTGATTCTTCTTATCTTTCTGGTCGAGTGATTGTGTAGCACTGGGTAAGAAATATATGGAGTGAGAAGAAAAAAATCACTTGACCTCCCAACTATAAGTACACTTATATATAAATCAAATACATACAAAATACAGTAACAAAGAAACAATATTAAAATTCACAATCATATAATTCAATAGGATTGTTATTTAATTGAGACAAATTGGCAATTCGGTCAGGACTTTGTAATTCTCTCATTCATAATTCACTTATTGCTTGTGTATTGCTTGTGTAGCATCAATCATCATCATCTGAATATGATGATCCTGTCCGGGGGTCACTCCCAACATGACATCCAGAAAAAGAGTTGAAGGGTGCCTTTTTCAGCTCTACAGCATCGTCAACGTTTTCCTTAAAAAGGGGTGTTTTTCAAGCACTTATCACACAACAAAAAAAGGGGCCTAGTACATGTACATGTACCTTTTCAGGTTCACAGGTTTGGGGGGGGGGGGGTAGCACTTTAGTACATGAGAGTGACTCCCCCCCCCCCTTGGAATCCTGTAGGACTACACATCAATCATGGTAATTTGTTATGAAGAAGAAAAAAAATTCAGTATAGCAATACAGATCTTGGACACGGGGCAGCTGTCACAGGCATGATGAAATATGTAAAAATGGGAAAGATAACAAAATCATACTCAAAGAGCAAGTCCACTCTAAAAAGCAGAAAATCAGACACACCATGCAATCACAAAAAGTTTTAGCAAAATCAGATAACTAATAAGAAAGTTATGAATTTTTGAATGACATGAAAAACTTTGAAAATCATAATACAAACTGGCAACTCATTCAGTCTTTGACGTCATTGCCCCACTATCCAACTCATTGTTTTCTTTGTTTTGATAATATGAACTTCCAATTTTCCCCTTAAAAATCTTACTTCCTCACACCAGAGTTATTTTTTCTTCATTTAAATCTTGAAAAATGTGAATTTGATAAACTATTTATATATTAATCAATGATTATGAATATAAAATGTTCAGAATATAGTATCGATTCTTCAAAGTTCATAAAAGATATTGTGAAATGTCATGCAAGCAATATGACATAAATCATATATCCTGGGCAAACTAAGGCATGGGGAAATCAAGTTTTTGGGGATAAAAAGGGGAATTAATGGGATAAAAATATATTAAGCAATCAATAAATAGTAAGGAAATGACGTCACAAACTGATAACCAAATTGGCAATTTGTGTAGTGACTTTTTAAGGTTCATAGTTTTTCATACTTTTCAAAAAATTCATAACTTCCTTATTAGTTATCCGATTTTACTCAAATTTGTTTTGCTATGTTTCTCTTATTTTTCGGCATCTATTTTTTGGTGTTGACTTAGCCTTTATACAAAATAATCGATAAGAAGTTATAGAATGACATCATTAACACATAATAGTAACCCATATCTAATAACATCCAATATGACCACAAACTTTTTAAAACCAGTTTCTCTGAATGTGGCTGGATATCTCTATCCATCTTCAGCATAGAAAAACTTTAAAGAAATAACTGGAAATATCTTATTTTACATTCAAATATTTGATTGATTATTGAACAAACAAATATATTCTTAAAAATGGAAGGCAAAAAAAAGTTGAAAAATAAAGTCTTCGCCCAGGCTCGAACTGGGGACCTTCTGCGTGTAAAGCAGACGTGATAACCACTACACTACAAAGACATTCACACCGGCAGAGGGCCTTTTATTGTATAGATCCCAAACAATAGCAACTTTGCCTTTGGTTACGAATACGGCACACACACACAAAAACAAAGTTGAACTAATTTTTACCTTGCCTGAAATTCAAGCGATTGTGTTTCTTCTTTCCAAAACCATTTCCCAGATGTTGCTACGGATGTCTGCAAATAAACAAGAAAAACAGACATTAATCACCTTCGTAGTCGTACGCGAACTTCAGCAGCAGGCGCAGGCTCAGTTCAGAAACGCGAATCAGCGCAACGGCAATAGCTTATGTACGCTGGAGCTGCGGCCGCAAAGCTGTAGGACTATGGCCTCGGGTTCAGCTGATATTATTATGACAGTCATTTTTATTTGGACGGTCGACGGCGCGTGATACACATGTACATGAAAACTGAAATATTGAAAACCAAGTACTCACTTCGTCGGAAATAGATACAGTCTTAGCCATCTCGCACTGTATAGTTTCCCTTAGTTTGAGCTATTAAACAATATACAGAATTACACTCTCATAAATTTTGCAAACGTTGTCATGGACATGGGGATGTATGGTTTATGGCGAAAGCGGGCGCTACTGCACACAATGGATTACAATGGATCATCAGATCATTTACAACAAAACAATCAGGAGTAGGATTTGGGAGTAGAAAAATAAAACAAGTGTTGTAATGTATGCTATTACATTGTTTTTAAAAGATATGGATTCAGTTAATAGAGTGAAGAAAGTTTTTAAAAACTTTGAAAAATATGTGGATAAAAGATAAATATGGATAGGTCTAAGACAAATTTAATGTGATTGGGAGAGGAGAGTGATATCGATAGGCCGCGGGTTTATCTCCGTTCGGACATCGGGTACAACATATAAAAATCCTAGGGGTATATTTCGCACGTTGAACTAGATCTAGGCCTATAAGGAAATTTTGAGCAAAACCAAAAGAATAATCAGTTGGAGGAAGCAACAATTAGATTTTAACTATGTTTGGCAAAATTAAATTGTTAAAAAATATATGTATTTTCAAAACTAAATTAAGTTACGTCTCCATAACAGTCTCACAAATCATTTTTGAAGAAACCAAAAAGATTTCTTATAATTTCATTTGGGGAGGGAGAGACAGAATAGAAAGGAAAATATTATATCAAGATTAATACATTGGGGGACTCAGAGTAACGAATTTCAAGGTAGACCCTATTTGTCAAGACTCGGAGAATATATGGAAAAAAGTATCGGGTTCGGAAAGTAAATTTTGACAAATTTTTCAGATCACTGGGTGATAAAATTATATTTTGTTGTAATCATGATATAAATCAAATGGACTTGAATGGTATACCATTGTTTTTATAAAGACATGTTGGAAGCATGGCAATAATTAGATAAGTGCACTTCTGTGCAGACGTTTTGGAGAAAATAAGAATAATCCGGTTATATTTAGATAATAATTATGAATATGTCACTGAGCAAAAACAACGACCCGCGGGATTTTCCAATTTCCGGGGGCCAAAACGAGAGAGAAAAAATTATGCTCACTACCCAAACCCCCCCCCCCCCGACGTACTGATGGGGGGGGGGGGGCTACAAACGTGGTTAATTTGTGATTCATTACCAGTGATTTACAAATGTTGCTGAAATAACAGTGATTTTTCCTCATTTTTTTGGCGTTTGTTGGACAATGACAAATCCCCAAATTTATGGCCAGGCAAAAAATAAGATTATTTTGAAGCCTACATGTCAGGGCCCACGGAACGGCTGGGCTTGGGGGCTCAAGCTCCCCCAACTTTTTGAAAAAGTTTGTCAAAGAGAAATAGAAGAAAGAAAGAAAATAGATCGGACCTGCCAGCGTCACAAAATAATACGCCTTCAACTATTATGACTGTCTACATACCCCCCCCCCTTCCCCTTCGCCTTCTCGATCACAACCATGTATTCCCTGAAAATTATGTGACCAAATGGCCCGAATTCACAAAGGAGGTTTGTCGACAAACCTTGGTTTTCGTACGTCATATGACGCGTTTTACGTGTTTTTTTACAAACCTGGTTTGTAAAGAACAAAAGGAGGTTTGGCGAAACAAAAGGAGGTTTGAGCTCAAACCTTGCTTTGTGAATTCGGGCCAACATGGCCAGGATTTTTAACGGGTTTCCCTGGTTTGTCACAATGTCAAAGGGCTTGTCGGGTATAGCTTATTTTGCCTATTTTGTGCAATGTGTTATTATTGCTTTTGTCTAAAAAAAAGAAGGGGAAATAAAAGAGTGTAACGTTATCCTGTCAAGCAGGGGCGTCGCTAGACCTTTGTCAGTGGGGGAGGGGGGGGGGGGGGGGGGGTTGTAGAGGCCACCGATTACCGACAAAACTAGCCACCAATTACCTTATAAACCCGGGGCCAGGAGCTAAATTATTTTAAGTTCCCCCCCTCCCGCGCAAAGCACGAAAGCTCTGACCGTCTGACGTATCATTAAATTATTAAAGAAATAAGACGATTCGTTTTACCGTTCTCGACTCTAAATCCTAGTCTGAATTCAGCTGGCCCCCTCACCCGCGACAAGCGCGGAACCTTTGCCGTTTCACTAAATTATTAGAGAAAGAAGACGATTCGTTGTACTGTTTTCGACTCTTAATCCTTGTCTGAATTCAGTTCCCCCCCGTTTTTTTCCTTCAATAGACCAGTTCACGGTTAGCACATGGCTGCAATGACCCCGAATATCCACAGATCTTCAAAACATGAAGAGGTCCCACTTTGTACATTTTGAAATTATCACTCCTACAGCGATGGAGATGCTGCATACTTAGCCTTTGTTTCCCCTTTTCAAAGAATACTTCCACCTGTGTATCATGGAGTGCTCTGCTTGTGCATAAATGAATAATGATTACATAACTTTCATGAGCACGTATCCAGTATTCCGTCTCCGTGTATTTCACAATTTGTTCTGCAATGACCTTGATCTGCTCATGCTCAGACTGCAACCGTGAACTGGCTTATTCATTAATTGATGCCATGTCAGAAAGAGCTGAGTAGTTTGTTACATAACTATTCAAAAATTGCAGGTGCAAGCTATTGAAAACAGAATCGAATAGCCAAGCTTCCCTATTCATTGGTGCCCTGTTATAGAATTCGTAGGATATACTGAATTGAATAGACCCGTTTTCTATTCATTATAATGCCATGTCAAGGCAGTGGCCTATTGCAATATCACTTTAAGTTTAAGTCTGCAGTTTGCAAAATAAATCAAAATAACATAAAAAAAACTCGGTTCGACTCCCAGCTTCTCCTTTATACCCCATGTTATTTGTATCATTTTTTTTCTTCACCCCATGAAATTGACTTGTCCATCTCCTTTTTTTAAAGGGGACACCCCCATCTCCTCAACAAAGGAGAAGAAAAAAAACATGTGATACTCTTTCTTTAACAAGCGACTCTCTGAATTAGTTAGAATACGTCGTTTGCTACATCTACAACAATAAGTATCAATATGAACAAATACATGAAGATTAGCAGTGTGACATATTAGTCTAGTTGATAGGCAATCGCCTGATAAATGGAAGGTATCGGGTTCGACACCCAGCTGGTGCTTTTTTTTTTTTATCTTCGAAAAGAAAAACTGATGTCAAACCCATTTTTTTCTCACTCAAAGTCCATATAGTAAGTTTCTATTCTTTTAATAAATGATTGATACAATGAGCTTGCAATTAACTTGTAAACAAAGTAAAGTATTATACGAAGTACACGAAGGACAGGAATTCTGTTTTATCTATCAGACATTATTATATATTCAATACTTTTTCAGTCCCAATGAGAGAAGAGAGAGAGAGAGAGAGAGAGGGAGAGAGAGAGAGAGAGAGAGAGAGAGAGAGGAAAAGAAAGAGAGCCAGAAAGAGACGAGTAAAGAAAATTCAATACAACTCATAAATCTAATAAAGTCTGAGAATCTCAATTCACATATTTACAAATAATTCATATATTTTGCCGGCAGGGGCGGCCCTCCCGGGGGGGAAAGTGCCCCCCCCCCACTTTTTCAAGCACCCAAAAGCGTCCCATTAACTTTGTAAGAAATGCCCCCTTTTTACATAGGAATAGTGCCCCTTTTACTTTGACAAGTGCCCCTTTTCCTCCGACAAGTTCCCATTTTATTTGCAAAAAGTGTCCATTTGCCTTTCTCATAAGTGCCCCTTTTTAGGTACGAGAAGTGCCTGTTTTACTGTGACAAGTGCACCTTTTCCTTTGCAAGAAGTGCCCCTTCCCCTTTTAATGACTACCCCCATTCTAACTCGGATAAGCGCACCTTATGTTTTCACATGTACCCCTTTACCTTTCTAAAAAGTTCCCCGTTTCCTAATGAAAAGTGCCCCCATAAATAAACGAGTCCCTTCCCCTTCTCATAAATGCCCATGTACATCTCTGGTAAATGACCCTTTTCAGGCATGAGAAGTTACTCCTTTTCACTTCAGATAAGTGCCCCTTTTCATATCTGTTCGTTGTCCAATTTCAGGTGCGATAAGTCCCCCTTTTCACCTCTGATAATTTCCCTTTTAACAATGATACATGCCCCTTTTCCTTTCTCATACGGGACCTATCCCCTTTTCATGAATGGCCTTTCGCCTCCGAATGCCCCTATCAAAATCTGATGGGGGCCCCTTTTCCGTCGACAAATGCCCATTTCCTATTCTCATGACTGACTTTTTTTCATCCCTGGTGAGTGCTTCTCTTTGAAGGTGTAAGAAGTGCCCCATTTTCACCTCTGATAATTACTCTGTGTATTTTGACAAATACTCCTTTTCTTTTCTGATAAGTGTCCCATTTTCCTCTCATCATTGAACGCACCCCTAATTTCACGCGATTAAGAGCAATTTCCCCCAAAGCTCGCTCGCTACGCTCGCACGCATTTATAGATGATATATTTATGTTACTTATGAAAGGTCTTTTCAGTCTTTCGTTATGAGAATGTGTTTATAACCGCATCAGGACTTTGTCCTCTTTATAAGATGTAATTTTTCGCACTGCGACCTCAAATCTTAATCTTTTTCCTCGCTCACTTCGCTCGCTCGCAAATAAATCACACCCAGCTGCAGAGTATGATGCTTAAGCAATATCTTGTATGGTGTATAAAGTGAAACAAATATTGAAATCATCCCTGATAATGTAATCACATTGTACGGGTATATGTCTAAAAAATTGTATATTTTCGCTTTAAGATTTCCCTTTGTAGGTGCCCTTTTAACCCAGAAATTGCCTTTTTTTTCTTGGTGCTCCCCCCCACTTTGGAAGTCGCTCGGCCGCCCCTGTTTGCCAAGAAAGCCAGATATTAAAAAAACAATATTTCCTCCAACTTTGGAGTTTTATAATAATTATTAGGTGGTCTGTCAATGACAGATCACCTATTGTTTTCGTCAGAATTTTCTTTCTTTATTATTATTATTCTTTATTTTTATTTATTTCTCCCCACTTTTTTGTGTAAAGGATAACTCAAGATCGGTTTAGTCAATTTCGTTCAATTTCGGCACAGTCATAGGTCATTGTCATGAGACGTGACAGTAACCTTTTCAAGGTCATCAAGTCTTCATGACGTCATCCAGGCGCCATTTTGTGTTTTTTTTGGTACTTTTTACTCAGGATCATATCTTCATAACGAAAAGACATTTCTCATTCATATTTATCATGATTAAGGTCAATGTCCGTCCGGTCAATTTTAGATCAAAAAACGCGCGCGCATGCGTACGTCCGCGCGTTAGCGCGCGCGCAAAAAATAAAAATGCTCAAAATCGTCTCAAATTAATTTTGCATACGTTTCAGGCCATATTAAGCGTTTCTTAAAAAAACGCGCACACGCGCATGCGCGCGCGTTTTCGCGCGTAACGGTATTTTTCAACATAAAATCGCCAAATTTTCTCTGTCATCATATTTGGCACATTTTTCCAAGCATTTTGATACCTTGTTCACCTTTTTCTGCCCAGTAATAACGGAATAAGCGTCCGTTTAAGATAATGTCCGTGCGTACGAGCTCTTGTAATACATAGCATACATGGGCAAAAACATGCCTATACAAAATCCATTGTAGCGCTTTAGGATGCAAGATGAACCCAATTTTGTTTTCATATTTTGATAGAGTATGAATTGGAGATATGATTTCATGTCTCATTTGACCCTCAATTAACTCATGACGTCATCATAATGGCCTCCGAACTCAAAATTTTAATTTGCATATTATGACGTCATCATATTTTTTGAAAATTGATTGTATCTCTGTAAATATTGATCAATTTTCATCCAAATTTTGATATGTTTTAGCTGAGACAATTCTCTACTGATAAATTGGACACAAATTTTCATTTTGACGAAAGCATCATGGCGTATTTTTGCGATTAAAGGAGGCATGTCAATTTTTTACATTTTGCGTGTATTCTCTATGGGACATGACTTTTTCTCAAAACTGAATTCTACATTCTCGTCTTTTGCGAGCAATATCTCCGTCGTTTTATCTTTGTTTACGCTGAGCTTTGAGTATGTTGTAGCTGAGACAGTAAGCTATCACAAGTGTGCCCTTTATTTTTTGATCAGATGCCGGGATCATGCTCATATTTCACTTGCGAGGTGGGATTTGAGAATTCTTATTTCCCTTTACGTGTAATCTCTATGTGAAATTTTTTGGTATATCGGTAACGTACTTGACTTCCGACCTCGAGGTCCCTGGTTCGAGTCCGGGCGTCTCCAACAATTTTTTTTCTTCACTTTTTTTTTTCTTTTTGACCTTTCACTGTACCATCTCCTTTGAATATTAAAACACGTAGAATCGCAAATAATGTAATAAACAACCATATTTACTTTATTATTACCCTATTATCACTTGATCCATTACTTTTTGCATGTTATCCTTGTGGGAGATGACTTTTTCTCAAATCTGGATTCTACATTCCTGTCTTTTGCGAGCAATATCGCCGTTATTTCCGCTTGTTTTTTGTTGATTTTTGAGTATAATGTAGCTGAAACTATATGCTATCTACATCTCCCTCATTTTTTTAATCAGATGTCAGCATGATCATCATCATCATCATCAATATCATCATGATCATGATCATGATTATCAACATCATCATCGTCATCATCAACATTATCATTATCATCGTCATCATCGTCATCACCATTACTATCAAGATCATCATCATCATCATCATCATTGTTTACATGTCTATATAACTTCTCCCATTCTCAAATCTATCATAAGACTTAGACAGACCACCTTATTCGTCTTTGTGACGAATTAAAGTCTAGTTATTGTTGTTGTTGTTGTTGTCAAATGTAAAAAAAGAAAAAAGAAAATAGGGACCTATTGCGGGGTTGGGAGAGGAGCAATGCAGAAAAAAGCTACAGGGGAGCCTTGGGCGTGGCCATTCCTTAAAAGGGCTCTTTGGGGGGGGGGGGCGGTAGCTGCGCCAGTCGTAAGTAAAGAGAATCCATCTCAATCCATTATTTATAAATAATTCAAATATTTTTCAGGGAAAGCCAGATATAAAAAATAATCATTTTTTTTTTCAATTTTGGAGTTATCGACCCAATAAGTCATATCGAAAAACCAGTGATATTACTGATTACTGATAGGCCATCTCATAGCTAGCTGCCAGCTAGCTCCAGTCGTCAGCTTACCTGCCAGTGTCTATGCTCATTTGACCGTATGCCTAAAACCCCTGAGCTTCCGGGGGCTCCGCCCCTGGACCCTACCAGCGGCCCTAAGACGGTACCTGAATGCTCTTCTGACCCTAATTAAATGCCTAAAACCCCTGAGCTTCATGGGGCTCAGCCCCTGGACCCCACGCCAATTATTGACCTTCAATGACACAAAATAAGGTATCTAAATATGCTTATGTGGCCGTTATTTAATGGTTCAAAACCTCTGCCCCTGGAACCCACAACAAGTAATGCTCTACTCGCTTCGCTCGCTACACTCTACCTGATCGTTAATATTCCACTTTGAAAAAGGTGAGCCCCCCCCCCTGGAATGTAATTTGCCCCCCCCCCCCCCCAATCCCAACTGCTTCCGGTGCGCCTATACACCAGTTTACGGTTGTGTGAGCCATTTTAAACAAAGCCAATGACCTAGAGGTCATGTATTGATGCGTAAATTGAGATTGCGCCCATGCAAATTATGATGATATCACTGCCTACGCGCTGCATTGTGCGCGCACATCATCATTTGCATGGGCGCAATCTTAATTTACGCATAAATACCACTGGTCATAGTTATTGGCCCCGCTTCCGGGGCCAATGACCCCGCTTCCGGGGCCAATGACCCGAGGTCAACTGTCTGCGCATGCGCACTGATACAACTGTAAAATGGTGTATTGGCATATCAACAATTGAAATTTCGGAAGGCATGGAAGAAATGATGGAACAAATTTCAAAGTAGCAAAAGCTTATAAAACTATGAAAGAACAAAAGATATATGGTCGTCGATTTATTTCATGACCGGGGGATTTCTGCACTTTTATAAGTCTAAACACTGCACATTTGGGCCCTCCAGAACCTAAAAGTGTGTTGCAAATTCTTTAGTCAGTATTTGCTACAATAGGCCTATATTTTTTTGGGTGCACTTGAAATTTTCCGCCCCCCCCCCAAAAAAAAAATGAGGGGGGGGGGGGGACCTCGAGATCACCTCTCCTGGATATATTAATATAATGCTGGTGAGCGGGAATTTACAGAATATGCTTTGATCCAATTAATGTGTCTAGTGAATAAGCATTAATTGATAACATGAACATTTCACTGGCTCAATCTACGGAGGAACATTTTCTTTTTACAATTCACAAATCATTTGATATGATTATGAATTTAAAAGCGATTTTCTTTCCGAAACTGACTTATTTCCTTTGATCTTAACTATCCATAAATTAAGTCAAAGACTAATTGTATCATTTTCACACTTCCCACTATTTTAGGCCTACCCTTGTTCTCTTCTTTATTAACACAAAATATTTTAAACGATCCTTGACCCCTTTCCCTAGATCGTCGTCCTCACGTCACGTGACCTGCGCCATGTTTATTTTCAGCGAAATGACGGAACTCAGGAACAAGTGCTGAAAACACTGAAATGGATGTTCGCTTGTCTGCAGTGGTTGTTTCTGCATTTTGCCGCACCCTGATCGTGGAAATGGAGTGCTAGTAGGCAGAATATTTGTTGGAATAACCTTAACATACATTAGAACCTCTGCATAAACTGAAAATCAGAGAAACATGGGCGAAGAGCTACCGCCGCTGCCGCCGATGACCCGACCGGGTCTGGTTCACGGAGTATCGTTTGCCGTGCAGATAGGATTTGTGCGAGAAAATTTTCAGATTCCCCCAGAGGGAGGTGATCCTTCCATTCCACTCATAAAAGAAATCGTTACCTCAATGGTTAGACAAAGAGTAAGTCTGTTTAGGGATCAATGAATTTCAAACCTTCCCCATGTGAATTGTAATCATTCTAAAAATAAATTCAAAAGAAGCAGCTTGATCTCAGTCTCAGTCAGAGTCAGACTCAGAGTCAGACGGACTCACAGAGTCAGAGTCAGACTCGGAGTGGGAGTCTGATATTAGTTGCAGAAATATTGACATGATTGATAGAGAATGCTGTCTACAGGTAATGTAAAGTGAGCGTGATTGTCTGTGACGTGAGTGTGAGTAGCCTGGATCTAGATCTGGAACATAGCCTTTTCTTCAGTAGGGCTGCACTGCACAAGAGCACCTTGCCAGACATTTCAACCTTGACGTTTTATCCTGACTGATGGATGTCAAGTACCGACGTAGAAGTAGGGATCGTCCGCATAAACGAGGATCATCTTCGTAAATGTGGAGAGATACGTCTGCAAAAATAAGGATCATCTGCATTTCGCTAACAATTCTGATTTAGACTCTACGATCCGTGCGTTCGCGATGCGAGAAACAGATTCCGCAAAAATTTTCTTGATGCAGTTCACATAGACTTTGTACAAAGACTTAAACGTGATGAGCAATAAATATTCGAGGAGACAGACAACCCATAAAAGTAGCCGGTGAACTGGGAGTATTTTATTAGGCAGAATCCATGTTTTGCATTGCATTGTTTTGCAGCGCGAGAACCTGGAACCCGCAGAGTGCCGAAAAAAAAAAGGCTGCAAAAATGCGGACGATCCTTATTTTGATGGACGCATTTTGTCCGCGTTTATTAAGATATCCTTGTTTGTTCGGACGATCCTCGTTCTCGGATTAGTGCCCCTTCTGGTCTCAGAAGAGAAATGCTCCGACAAATCTTGCAAACTACCTTCGGAATTTGCTAGTCGACTCTTCCTTCTAAGTTCTACCCGTACAATAGCCTTATTGATTATGGCCAAGTGATAATGTAAAATATGATATTGATATCACTTCTTAGATCTAGCCTTGACTCATCTGGCACCCATACCCCTGCTTGAAGAGGCAGGTAAACAAAACCTAAAATGCGTCTGAAATCACCCCTTCCAGCACTTGACCAACACTGCATAGCGGCTTCAAAGTTCGCTATTGGAGTCTTCTTTCCTCTCATAAAAAGCACTTTGAAATCGGTCAAGAAATATAAATATGAGAGTTCACGATGTTATTTGCAGCGGAAATGTGAAGACACATGGTAAACACATAAACGTTTTAAGGTTGCCAATTTGATACTTTCAATAATAGCGATTAGTATAAACAGGTGCTTGTAGTTGTAGGGAGTTTGCTAAATTCTGCTAAATTCAGCACACTAAACTGTGTACTACAACTAGACTAAACTTAACAATATACATGTACTTGTAGTGTAAACGACGCAGAGAACGACTCTGCATGCGGACAGGGCTTGTTTTCAGCTAGCGCTAGCGTGTCATTTGTTCTTCAAAAACTGAAATCTGGGGATACCCTCTAACAAACCAGCATGTAAAAGTATATCCAAACATTGATTTTACCAAGGTAAAATAATACACTAGTGCTAGGTCTATCCCTGGCTCAATACTAGCAAGGTCCACATTCAACGACACTGTGCAATTAACTCACTTTTTTTTTTACTAGTAATTGGCAGAACAATACGTAACATGCTTTTTTCAGATATACCGAAATTGTACATGATTATGTTCAAACTTCAAACCACTTAAAGTGGTTTGTAGTTTGATTTTTTAATTTGTGACAAGAATTTTTTTCTTTCCTGGCAGACAAAAAAAAATCTCCAGTCCTGGATATCAGGTGATGATAACCTAGTCAGACTGGGTGCAGGGAAAAATAATTTTTTCAGGGCATTTTTAAGTTATGAAATCTGGGCTATGTGTGAGAGGTGTGTTGGAAACATACTGTAGGTGTCATACTGTAGAAGAGATGTACAGCATTTTCTCTTCTAGGGCATCTTCCAGGCTATCTTCCAGGCTACATGTACAGTGTAAGTGTGAGTGACACTTACACTTGACTTGACAAGAAGAAAAGAGGGAATAAGAGAGGGCGAGATTGTGGATGTGACTGATGATAATACTTGAATATAAGTACCGTATAGTAATGAAGCGAAAGTCATAGTCATAGTCTTCGAGTCTAGTCTAACTTTGTGTTCACCTTTGTGGGTCCATAGCCTATATCCACTCTGCAGATATGTGCAATGCGACATGTACATATACAATGCACCAAACTTCTGAGGTGACTGAGCAATGAGAATAGCATTGAGGTTTGCCCCTAGTAAAATTTGTATATTTTTTGTTGTATTATCATTAGTTTGAAATCCTGTTGAGATTTGCTTTAGTCAGCTGCAAACTCAAGGGTTGCATTCATTTGTTCGTAATATGCGATGGTACATTACGTCGGTGCAATCTACCCATGAATCGCGATCAACAGGGTTGCCAGTTTTCAGACAATAGCCTTGGCAAGTTATTTTCAGACCATAGTTTAGGCTTTTTTGTGTACAAAATAGCTCATTCTAGGTGATTTTCAGGCCCTCTGATCAATTCTAACATGTAAGCGCATACACTGTATTTTTAATTAAAAAATTACAATAATTTGACAACTGGCCCATCGATACCATCAATATCATCATCACTGGATTCAGACGATGAAGACTGCAGATCCAAGTTTCACTGTCTGGCCTAATTTCACCCATTTGATGGATAATAAATAATTAAAATTGATGATAATAAGGCTGCTATCGATCGCCTGTTGAGTGTCTGATTCATTGTGGTCTTGCATTTTTAGGGAAAAATTATGACACATTTCACTTTCTTAGGATCATTTATGAGCTTTCATCTGACATGCAATGTCTATTTGTATCAATGTCTTGTCTACTTTAAAGCAAATGTAAGAACCAGTGACCTTCTTTATCTATCTTTGCAATCATATTAGAGGCGTTTAATAGTGCCCTGAACAGCATCGAATGAAATAAGATTCCGTTTACAGTACATGATATATGTACAGTACATGCCACCATACATGTATACATTTCCAACAGTTATTTGTATTTTTGATTTGTGTGCATGTCTAGGAAAAGAAGGTACAGGTATGTGACTCTGTGTATCCCTTTGTTATAAATACACTGTAGCAAGTTGAGCAACATGACACATTGTAAGGGCTTACCGGTAGTTAGAATCATTCAGGTGGTCGCGTTACACAACCTTTTGTAAGCCCTGTAGGCTGTATTGTATGCAAAACAAGTATTAAAATTGCTGGTTTTAAGCAATTTCAGTTAAATCCATGAAATGTTGTCTTGAATCTTGAATTACAGTATATTGTAAATGAAATGGGTCTTGCTGAGCTGATTTTGTCAGATATTTTGGGCTCTTTGAAAATACCAGGATTAGGGTTACTATTGCATGAATAAAAGCTTCTTTTTTCACAGTCTGAGATGTATCTTCAAGATTTTACTCTTAAAGAGGTCTGTACTCAAAAGGAAGAAGAAGAAGAAGAATATCATAGTATTTTTTGTCCTTGGACATGGTGTAGCAATTAGTAAGACTGTAGCTTAACCGCTTTGCATTGACTAGATTATACGATAGTAATGATTAAAAAACTATTTCTATTCATTTAGTGTACTACTCGATTCTTTAGTTAAATCCTGAATTTAAAGTTTACACTGCAAAAATTCTGAATTACCTATATTTCAAATTACAGCATGATGGCATTCATTTTTGGGGATGTACATGTACTGTACATGTTAATTCATGCTCAGCATTGTCCTAATTGTTATCCTACTTACTGCGAACGGGTGATCACGCAAATTGATCAACAGATTTTTGTTTTCAGCATTAAATTTTGCAAGTGTAAATATGAGGTCAAATGGCTTACATGTATGATGTGATTATTTAAATAGAGCAGCAAGTTATTATGTATCCAATTTTTCTGATTAGATTTATGCATTTTTTAGTTTTTTACAAATATATGCAGGTGTTGAAGTTATTTTGTCCTAAATGATCTGCTTGTAGATGAGAACCATGTACATAGGGTTCAATGTTAGTTTAATCTGTGGTTTTAAGAGTCTCATTATGGAAATATACTACATTATAATATATAGCTTTATGTTCAGGCGGATAAACCTAACTTTTATGGCTGTTGTAATTTCTCTTACAAGTTTATAATGCTTTACCGTTGCGCAAAATTTCCTTTACCATAGTTACAATGTATTTAAACAAACCTAAATAGTTTAACTTTTACTTAACAGGTGCAACCTCTCTCAGTGTGGAATCATAAAAGAGATTAGTTGAATTACTAATCTGTGCTGCACAAAACTGATAAATGACATACATTTTAATGCTCAAATGTTGTCAAAGTGTGTCTGCACTGCTGCTGACAAACATGCACTTGTAGCTTGCTCATGACTCAGTGAATGGAGCTTAGTGGCGTGCAGTCTGCCACTAAACGTTCCTTTCAATCAAATAATTTTTAAATTTATCTTAGAAAATATAACTACTTGTAACTACATGTACAGTACAATGTGCATTGCAAAAACTGTATGATCTCATTTTGTAAAGCTTGCAATACAATGTACCCTGTTTGCACTTGTGCATGACTGCAGTCATTGAAATACATGTACATGTATACACACATGTATGCTTGCTTTAACTTCAAGTTAATTGAAAGTATTGGAAGAGAGAAAATGCAGCCCGAAACTCTGGAAATTAATATGCTGCTCAATTCAATATTGCTCTTGATTTTTAATTTCTACGATACTGTTCTGCCATTATGACCTTTGGTTTTATTATTTTACATCTTGTAACTTTAAATGATAAATACACAGGAATTTCTTCTACCTGTACATGTAATATTCACAGGTGCTAATGTAACATTATAAATGTCTGTGTCTAAATGTACAGTATGTGAAGTGTGAACTAATATTTATAAATGGAGAGATTAGAAACTAATTGGTTATTAATTAATTATATTAATATTTATAAATGTACGTGATCTAGTATTTA